ATACCAAGGTCAGTGCAGGAGGGAAGAGGTGCTTCAGGTGCCAGAACAGAGATTCCCCTGCAGCCTGTGGTGCAGACCATGGTGACGCAGGCTGTGCCCCTGCAGCCCACAGAGTCCCCTTGTCGGAGCAGGGGGATGCCCAAAGGAGGCTGTGACCAGTGGGAAGCCCATCTTGGAGCAGGCTCCTGGCATGACCTGTGGCTGGCCCTGTGGAGAGAGGAGCTGGAGCAGGTTGGCTGCAGGACTTGTGACCTGTGGGGGACCCATGCTGCAGCAATCTGTTCCTGAAGGACTGCATCCCATGGGAGCGACCCATGCTGGAGCAGTTCATGAAGCACTGAAGTCTGTGGGAAGGACTCACATTGGAGAAGTTCCATGGAAGGGACCCCACGTTGGAGCAGGGAAATCTGAGGAGGAAGGATTGGCAGAGACATCATGTGATGAACTGCCTATAACCCCTACTCCCTGTCCCCCATGCTGGTGGAGTCAGGGAAGAAGGGAGGGGTGGAGGGAAGGTGTTTTTTTAAGATTTGGGTTTATTTCTCATTATCCTACTTTTATCTGACTGGTAATAAATTAAATTAATTTTCCCCAATGTTAAGCCCTTCACTGTATTTTTTCTCCCCTGTCCTGCTGAGGAGGGAGTAATAGTGCAGCTCTGATGGGCACCTGGCATCCAGCCAGGGTCAACCCAGCATGCCTGTTGAGGGTGACAGTGGCTGAGTGGGTGCCTCAAAGCTGGCCAAGGTCAACCCACTATAACTAGTCAAATTAATAGACTCTTTTGAGGCGGATTACTTCCTGCAGTTCACCATATGTGTTATTTTAACAATCTGAATATTTGTTATTAAGCTCTTTGTTGTTCTATTTGAACCAGTGTCACCCTATCAGTTTTGGAGGATGACAACATTTACTAGCTTTCAGTTTTAACTACCAACCAAGTGTCATTTTTCACTTTGCTTTTCTTTTTGATTCTGCTAGATTTTTAAAGCATGCGAGATTTCTCACAACACAGATATTCCAAAACAGTGACAACACTTAGTAGAAAAGTTTTTATGTAGTTATACAGCTAAGAGTCTATTCATAGAACATATGTAGATACATATTAACAAATAAAACAGCTTTTTATGCTGAGTTCTGTTTCATTACCAAGGACTGTATCAGAAAATGAAGACAAATTGAAAAAGAAAATTTAATTATGCTTCACCTGATAGAGGTTTACAGGATGTCAATGTCCTCAACACATTTACACTAATTATGTCTAGTTTATTAAAGTAATGCTTGAACATTAATGCTATTTCACACACTACCACATACAAATTATAAAATCTTTTTCTTTCCCATCCTTACACATTCCAAGAAAGCTGTGCTTTATAAAGGTGAAATGTAGCCCCTCTTTAAGCACTGATAACACTTTTGTTTCATTAACATAAATATTTAATGTATGAGATGAACAAGAGGACTGGAGATCATCTTAATTTCTTCATGTTTTATTCTTCAGTAGGCTTGTTAAAGAATAGTTCATGCAGCTGTAAAATTGCCACTAAGTATATACAATGATACTGTTCTCATTCAGCAGGAGTAAGTTCCGTATAGACCAGCTGGATCAAAAAATGCACTGAAACCTTGACAGAAAAAGGTTACATCTTGAGGGACTCACACGTAGTATGGAACATTAAGTTGATTCAGAGCAGTAGAATAAACTGGTAAGACAACACGAATCGCAGGGATGTTGCGCACACATATAATGTTCACTGTCCCATGGTTATCATAAAAATTGTCCCCTGTACTAAACGGATTACAGTTAGTAGATGTGGACAGTGACTGGTCAGTACACTCCTCCAGCTCATCACTATTTTCTGGACCCAACTCACTCAACTTCAAACGCCTAATTTAGAAGAATGGTCACATCACCTTCCCCTTCAGTCATTCAGACATTAAGTGGTATGGATGGCAAGAGTTATTGCCTATGCCTTTTCAGTTCCTCATCATCAGAGCTTAAGGAATTTTTGGTGTATGATTTGCAAATTTTACTGTGTTCTAAGGCATGTACCAGGCTATGACCCACAATGTCTAACAAAAGGGTTAGGCACAGCTGTTCATTCTAAGACTAGGACATGACTAAAGACCTGTTGAATTAAAAATCAAAACTTTCAGAAAAAACTGAAGACCAAGATTCCTATGAAATATGTCCCTCATACAACCAAATCTGTCATTCTCTACAGGAGGGACTGTAACTTCTTCTTTTAGATCAAATGTAAACACAGCATGTTAACTATCTTAACGCTGACGCCTTTGCAAATCAGTTGAGACTATGCTACACTGAGGAAGCAGCAGAAGCGGATTGCCACAGCCTACCCAATATGCTCTAGAGAGTTAGCCTGGCTGATTTGAAGTCTGTTTTATCTAGTCTTTCACGGCAAGAGAGAATGCTTTTTTTATGGACCACATCAGTCATAATATAACACGCAGTTCTCTAGAACTGTAACTAGATGGATTTTCAAAAAGTAAATTCTAATAGTTTTCCAGAACCTTCTGTCATATATAAATTGTGATCTTGAAGAGAATCATCTTACATACTAAAAATAGTTATGCAAGGAAAAAAAAAGAAGACCAAAAACCTAATAAACTTCCATTATATTGAGAATATAAAAGCATACAGAAAACATGAAGGATGCACCAGTCCCCAGTATTTTCTACCCAGCTGTATACAAGATAAAATTTTACTTGTGCATTACAGTTACCGACCACACCTACACTACATTTATAGAAAACTGCTACTCTCACAGTGGAATTCTGACATACTTTAGTCATCTGAGCAGTGACAGAACATGCATGTTTATATAAATTGTAATGTATATGTACCCTATGTGTCTTAACAGATAAGCCTGCCTTTTTCTAAGGTCAACTCCAACTATAAACTGATTCTTAAATGACTGTACATGGAATTTCTCTATTTGCTTTAAGCAATGTAGAACGAGTTGTATTTAATGTTCTTTAAAGCTCCAGAATTGTGTAGAAACAGAGCAAGTCACTTAGGACTCCAGATAAGATCCGGTTGATGAAAACAATCCCATTCACTTTCATAGCTAGTAAAACGTCCCTTATCCCATACAATGGAATTATGAATCATGACAATTCAGCTCTTGGTAACAATAGAGAAAACCTCTGCACATTCCCAGAAAATGATGCTTTATATATTGCCCTATTAATCCTTAAACAATGTAAGACCAGAAAGACTTTTGGAGGTCATTGTTCACCTAGGTTTCTTGTGTTTGATTTTTTTCTTTTATGAAATAATGATGAGCAGCTACCCCCCCAGTTTCATACTTCCATCTTTGTTTGCAGAACTCAAAGAGAATATAAATCCTAGGGTGACCTAGCGATGCAGCAGATAAGGTTTTAAGTACAAACAGAAAGTTACTCAGAATGGTGAAATGCTATTTTACCTAGAGCTATTTCAGATACAGACCTACTATACAGGAAAAAATCTTTAGATATGTACTTCTGATTTTGTGCACAGGCCTTCTGGAAGAAGAAACTAGTCTTCCGTTGTAACGGAACATACAAATATAGATACTAGTAACTGCCAAGAATTTGCAAAGCTGAAATAGTCAAAAGTCTGTGCTGCAAAAAGCCTACTAGTTATAACATTTACAATGGAGGAATGGTCAAGAATATAACAAAAAGCCATGAAATTAAAGCACTGACATTATCTTATGTCTTTCATTATGCCAGTGCTAGAATGCTTAAAATAGAAGCTGCTTTCTCATGTTCCCCAAATAAACTGCAATATAGAAGTCAATTTGGATATGAGATTATTGTTAGCTTACTATGAACTAAAACCCAACACGAATAATTAGTTACTGCTTTTTTAATAGGTGTCATTTAAAATATGACAGACAAATTTTATGTTATTTAAAGTTATGCAAATAGGTTATGGGTACTGATTCTTCACAGCAGATTTTGAAGCTGGAAATGTAACATGAAACAGTCATTTTATCAGCCAAGGCACGAAAAATATTCTTAACTGTAAGAATTTGAGTACACTCTTTTTCTGCCTGCATTACAAAACCATATATATGTAGCCAAAACTCACAAAGTTCACAATGTCCTATTTTTACATGATTTAAAATGTTGTTTCCTCCCAAGCATGACTAGGATCTTATCTGGATACTGCTCTAGATCAGAGCACAAGGAAAGCATTGTGCTGTTTAAATTAAAACTGGTTTCTATCATTGTACCTTTCTAAATTGTAAGCACTGTAAAAGAAAATGGTTAATGAAACAAGTTCACACATTGAAATTTAAAAACTCCTCTTTTTCAGAATGTATGATTTTGAAAAAAGAAAGGACATTTTGCTTTATTCCTTTGCTAATCCTACAGCAGCCAAATTGACTGGGAAAAAAATGTAATAAAATGGAAATAAAAAAATTGTGAGATCTTTGAGGTGGTCTTACTTTTTCAAGCTCTAAGCTGCATGTCTGAAAAAGACTTCTGTGCACAGTAAAGTTTTATCTGTGCATGGTTTAAAAATGTATTCAATTCCTATATGGCATGCAGTCCAGGAAGAGTTCCTGCAAAGGAGTTCCCAGCAATCTTTTGGGAATCTGGACCCTCATATTGCATCTAGACAAAATTCCCAATTGGAAAAAATGATACATGAAGGAAACCATTGTATATGGATTCTCTATAGAGACCACATAACTTGGTTAAATTCTACTTAAGCTGATAGGCTAATCAAAATCCTCCACTATAATGTGATCAGTCTTCTTTTACAATAATATTTTAAAATTAATTAGAATGTATAACTTAAAGAGTTACCAAAATACTAACTGTCAGCAATAGTTGTGACTTCCTCATTCCGATACAACCAGCTGACAACAGGAGCAGGTGAACTAGTAACATGGCAAACAACTTCTGCATCTTCTCCCTTCCTGAATTCTTGTGGAGATACTATGTCTCGGAAAGTGAGCTTTTCTGAAAATGAAGAAAACAGAATATAGTAAGCGTCAAATTCACTTAGCATTACAATTATATGTGACACCAAATTAGAAAAAGATGATTATTAAACATTCTCATTGTGATAATACAGAATTTTTTCCATAATATAATTTTTCCAGATAAGACTCAAACCATCCTGGCCACATGACTTCCAGTCTGTAGAAATGACTTTACAATAATTTTGCACTATGAAAACCTTTGTTTTATTTATCAAAAATAAGCACGTCTTATAAATATATATTCCATTGTTCCAGACCCCAGTTTTGAACCCCTATATTTTTAGATGTTTATATATCCAGATGATTGGAAGAAGGGAAATGTAACC